ACAGATGTTACCCTTCAAGTATGCCTCTGGACTCTGTTGTTGCTTCAAATGTGTCAGAACCCTAATTTATCTTGAGTTTCCTCACTGTTTCAGATTTCAGATGAAGAAATGTCTTGATTCAGAAAACCAACAATGGCATATTATATTCACTGATTTTTTTAAACTGAGGTTTATAAATTAGGGCAATTCAACGAAGCACTTATAAAAGCCCACTGCTTTTCAGCAAAGCCTTAAAGCATCCACTTAAAGCCAGATGTCCACTTCTGTGGCTCTGATTCAGCAGAGCACTTGAACAAATGCTTCACACTAATCTCAGCGGTCTAGTAGTCATAAAATACATCTGACTCTGTGTCTACATCAAGCCAAACCTAGAGTACATAAATGCATCAGAACTGCTCAATGGATACGCCATTAGTTTGACACCAGCATCAACAGGAACCTGCATTATTTTCCTGCTTTTAGAAGTACGTTCATTCAATTGATCATGATGATGGAGTGTGATTCTGAAAAGCATATACCATGTACAATTTAAAAAATTATCCGTCTGATATACAGATGCTAATGCACATTGGCTGTGTCCTGTTTGTACCTCATCTACAATAACATTTGTACGGAGAAAGTAAGTTACCTTTGAGAAGCTTGAATTAATGCATAGCTACAGCAGAGCTGTCTGTCTCTGAGGTCTGACACTTTTTGTGTACATTATCAGGAGCTGAGCCCTGTAGTGCCATAGACTCCCCTAATTTTGTAGCCAGCTGTCTTATGACTGGCTACTGATGCTGTTATCAAAATGCCTTTTTGTAGCTGTAAACAGTGATTTTGCGTTTTCATACCATGACCCTGTTCTGCTCCTTGACATGGTAGCCCATGATGCTCTTATTTAATATTCAGCTGTCCTGCGTTTTATGACTTTTTTTACCCCCTAGTGCAGGAGATAAAGTCTACATGAATAGCTGAATACGTAGCAGGGGACAGTGACATTTGCAGTGTGATACAGACAGCAAGGGGCACAGGAATGTACAGTTCTGTGGGTGTCCGTAGCCGGACAGATACAATGACTTTTGGAAACAGAAATTTGTAGTTGCTTCCACATTCAATAATAATTTTACTGGAGGAAGTAACAAATTCAGCTTTTTATGTGGAAGTGCAAGTTGGGAAGAAAACAGTGATGTGTTCCGAGCATCTCTGTGGTGTTCTCAACACTGCATGAATAATCCTCATACTATAAAATACAGCTTGAATTTTTGGTCAGGTTTCACAGATGTTGCTTTCCAAGTTGAACAGGCCATATATCTGCTTCTCCGTGTGAAGTGTTATGTTTTTCTTAGCCTGTGTTATTTCTCTGCTCTACAAAACTTTGCTTCAGCACACCCATCATTTCCAACACTTCACAGAGCTGCATTTTATCTCCAGCCTGGGATGTGGAATTTGCTATGAGTGGTTCACCACCAGCCTGATGTCTGACATC